GAGGGAGGGGGGCAGAGAAAGAAACATCAATGCTCAAGAGAAGCACTGATCAGTTGCCTCCCATACATGCCCTGACCTGGGACTGAACCCACAACCTTTAGTGTATGGGATGACACTCCAACTAACTGTGCCACCCACCCAAGGGCTTTTTCCCTAAATGTAACACTACCAGCTGGTATTTTAAAACATTATGTCTTACCTAATAAAGGTAAGAAAAACAGACAATTAAGGATATTGACAGACTAGTTTATACAAATGAGCTTGAGCAATGGGGTGATCTTTCCTGGGAATCAGCAGAATGTAGGTAGGGTAACATCGGCTCTGATATTGGAACCAGGATTGGACCCTTGGTTTTGAGCAGCTCTAGAATCCTAGAAAAATAACTCCCTTTCCACCTCTGTGCTCATGGTCCATAAGGCAGGTCTCAGGTACCCCAGCCCACCTTCCAAGAACCCCCTAAGAATATCAGGCTTGACTATTTTGCCACAACTCCAACTTTCCCAGTTCTTATGTGAGCCCTAGTCAGACAAGTTTAAATTAAATCACTGTCCCTCCATGTCTCTCCACACCTCCTCCCTTGCCTGTGGATGTCCTGCTTTCCTACTCCTATTCTCTCTGTGCCATGGGCCAGGAGGCAGCTGCCTTTGCTCATGTTCAGCCACCTGGAAAATACCCGTGTGTGCCCCTTCACCTAAGACTCCAGACCCATCTCCCTCACAAAGCCTTCCCAGGTACTCCCACCACTCTGACTGCATCTTTCCCCAACACTTAGCGCTGTGAGACCAAATGAGTCAAGAGCTGCATCGTGTTTCTCAGGCTCCTGGAATTTTGCTATTTAACAGGAGTGCTCTGGAATTAAGTATATAACCAAAAGTTGGCAAAATCTTGTAGGACTTTTCACATAAGTCCAGGAATCAGGAAACAAAATGTTCTTTGTCAAATCATGTATGAACAATCTTTACGCTGAAAAATATAATCTTACTTGGAGTTCATAGAACATAATTGGCTCTCAAATTATCCCCCTTGCGCCCTTCTTATTGCAAAGATCTGGTGCCCTCCAGGGTATGCCCCTCTGCCCATGATCTTCGAGTCTGAATTATTCTCTCCCTCCATCACTACTCCTGTTCTGTCCTGAGTAAATTCTGGACCCACACCGATAGAGGAGCTCCCCAGTGCCCCGACCTTTGTTCCTTTGTTTCAATGTGTTGGGCCCCTTGTCTACTTCAGCCACTGCTCTGGTCAAACTCTACAAGGGGTCCCTGGACAAACAGTGCCTGGAAACTTGTTAGAGAGGCCAATTCTTGGATCCCACCCAGCTGTATTGAGTCAGAAAGTGGGCTGGGGCCCAGGGCTCTGTGTCTTAAGCCCTCCAGGTGATGGTCAAGTATGACAACTATTGTTCTAGACCTTGTCACTACCAATAAGTGCACTGCATCCCAAATCTGCAATCCAGATGTCCTACTCCTTAACTCGCAAGTCTTTCAGCTCTGTCACCACTGGGACCTCCAATATGTGGACCAGTCCACTGCCCACTGTTATTGTTCCCTTAGGCACAGCCTCAAAGTTGTCAACTTACCTGGCAAAATATCTAGCAGGTAAATGCAACTCTCCCTGATTCATTCTTGCCCTTGAACATGGCTACAGAACAACACAATACCACACTAACCTGTCTTGGTAGGAATTCATGGGCCTTCACCTCAAGTGTGCTCTGCCTGGCCTATACTTCCCTCTGGTCCATCCACCCTCCCCCTCTTTGAGACAGTATTTCACACCCTCCCCTTTCCCTTCAAATATCTGACATTCATTCCCCAAGCCTCACTCACAGATGGCCGCTTTTCTTATTGACTGAGAAAACAGAAGCAACAGAGAAAGAAATTGCTCATTCTTCCACTACCCAACCTGGGAACCTCCCTGTATGTGACCCACACACTTGGCCTTTTCTATCCCTGCCATGTGTGAACTGGTTTTCATCTCTCTCTCTCCTACAGAAGTACCCTATGCTCACCATCAGCCTTTCTTTCTCCTGCATCATTAGTGCTTGCTCTTCATTGCATCATTCCCGTCAGCACCTGCGCCCTGCTGTCCACTTGCACTGATCCCCTACAAAGCCAACCACACAAGAGTCTTCCAGACTCACTTTCTCCATTTCCACATGTCCTGTTCTCTCATCAGACCTAATCAGGCTTCAGTCTCCAACACTCATTCACTCTGTTGGACTTGAAAGCTCATTCAGCTCCCATTTCTGCAAAGCCTCTGAGATGGAGCTCAGTCATACTGAGATCAAGCCTTCTCCACATTCTCTGAACCCTTAAGACTCCCTAACTCTGGACAATGGTCTTAGCAGCACCACCCCTCTTCCTTACCTTAAAGCAATAATCATGGCAGCAGATGCCAAGATGTTCGAGGGTAATCTTCGGACAGTCTCGGATCTCTCTGTTGCAGTAAGTACAGATTCCTCCAGTTGTTCTGTGAGATGAAAAAGAAGAACCTGGTGGTCTGGCATGCAGACTACTGATATGATACACTCAGACCCTCTGGTTTGACACAACCAGGCCTAGGTTTGCTGCCAGGATTCTCAGCCTGCCATCTTTTTCTGTGGTATGCAATTGGCCACATAGCCCTGAGCCAGACTGGGCCTCTGCAGACCCTCACATTATTTCCAGAAGGTGGTCATGTATCTTCATATTCACTATCTTATGTGTAGACACTCTGATGTGATTCTTATTCCAGGCAGTGTGCCTCTCCCTGACCCCTGCTTAGCATATCTGCTCCCATCTAGAATAAGAAGACCCATGTCTTCTCCTACAGGAGACATATCCTTGAATGCGCTACCTGACCACCTGTCTTGATAGCACTTGTGTTCATGCCTGGGACCACTGAGCCCTGCCTCTTGGACCATACACTCTTGGACTCCTGTAATACTCACTGTGTGACTTAAGATTCATTATTTATTCTTTCCAGACCTGTTTTATTCACTGTGACCTGAGTAAACTGTATCTCTAAGATTCCTTGCTCCCTTATTCCAAGAATTGAAAAATGGGACTTCTTGCTCTGGCTGGTGTGGCTCAGTTGGTTGAGCATTGTCTCATGCACTGAAAGGTTGCAGGTTTGATTCCTGGTCTAGGAACATACCCAGGTTGTGGGTTTAATCCCTGGTTGCGGTGCATATGGAAGGCAACCGACCGATGTTTCTCTCTCTCACCGATGCTTCTCTCTCCCTCCCTCTCACTTCCTCTCTCTAAAATTATATATATATATATATATATGTGTGTGTGTGTGTGTGTATGTGTGTATGTGTGTGTGTGTATATATATATATGTGTGTGTGTGTGTGTATATATA